TGAGTACCAGAATATTCTTGGAGGTAAAGGGCGGCCGGCGCGTAAGGCTGACAACCTCACCGCCATCTGTGAGGCGACTGCCCACAAAATGTGGGAGCCTCGACGTCTCACAACCGTGTGGGCCTCCACGGCCTGTTACAGGGATATCTTTACCTTTTACGCGTCTTAAGTTATTAAACGTATTTGTCAAATACTTTATGAAAACATAAATCACTCGTTTGCACCTGACCATTAACTAAGGGCTTCTGTGGTATCCATAACCGGCCCTTATTAGGGCTCATGAGTGATGAGTGATGTTTCACGATGTTTTTCGAAACATAGGCCTAACAGTAATTATGCTAAACAAACTCCAGGCTCCTCTTATAAATCCTTAGTGGTAACNAAAAGTGTAGGGGGGGGGGGGGGGGGGGTCAGTTGGAATCCCGGCCGGAACTCTTGGCTATTATGACCGATGTTCCTCGTTGTTTTCCTCAGTCCCTCTAGGTAAATGTCGGGATATTTCCTCGATTAGGCAACTAGTTACTTAACGACGGTGTCCGTACAGACACTGTTTAATGTCAGACAGTAGAATGACGCATTGGAAAGGATTTAGAAGGAAACGATCGTGGCCTGTTTGAGGTACTATCCTAGTATTTGCCTTGCACTGAGGGAGACCACGAAAAATCTCAAGTCAAGAGAGCCGGGGTCCCGAGACTCGAACCAGGCATTTCCTAAATAAAAGTCTAAAGCGTTACGTATTGACAGTCTTGTTCATTGGCCGCTTCCTACCAAATCCTTTCAGTTCATCATTCGTCTGTCATGACAGAATCGTGAAGTAATCCACACAAGACAGATACCGAAACCAGCAGGGTTTAATCCTTCTGAACCCTGTTTGCGCCACGGAAATTGCTGGTTATTTTAATGCTTTTTGTTTTGCCGATGACAGTGGCTGCGCCCGCTCGAACACTGGGGTTGTGGGCTCGAATCCCACTCGAGGCATGGATGTTTGTGTTTGTGCTGTTCTGTGTGTAGGTAGCGGCCTTGCTACGTGCTGATCCCCCGTCCAAGGAGTCCTACCGACTGAAAATGCGGCCAAGGTCCAAAGGGCTGTATGGCCATACACAAAGAGTAGAAGTATTTTTGTTGGGTCGAAGGGGAGATGTGCCAACGGAAGGGGCTGCTGATGTTGCCCCAACCACTTTGTGTTATTAACACTTCATGTACTCTGAATGCAGTAGCGCAGGAAGGATGAATATTCGATCGGTATCAGCAGGTTCCTGTTATTTCCAACCGTTACAGAAAGTGGCCCAAAGCTTGTCACCATTAAACGAATTGGAAATGTGTGTTCTCTCCTCTGTTAATTATCTGCATTGAGTAATTCCTTCTTGAGAGGCCAGTAGTCGATTCCCATACAGCAGAGGCCTCCTTCAGAAGCTAATAGTCGCTCAGCTACTCAAGAGATTCACTGTTTTAATGGAACCTTTAAAGATAAAGTTGTTCCTGTACTTAATTAAGCACCAGTCCATGAAGACGTTATCGGGGAGTGGGGGTATATCTCTACCATTCTTGACTTTGGCACTAGATGGGGGTGAATGGTCAGCTTCACGCTTAGGCCTCTTTAACCCCAGGGAAATAGGTCCCGGTACCCATTGGATAGGAGACTGGGTGGGGCCTCAGAACCGGTCTGGACACCGAAGAAGAGAAAAATCCTTGCCCCTGTCTGGAATCGAACCCTGACCTCCCTACCCGTAGCCCATCTGATGGGGGTAGAGAATATGCTTACATATTAGGTTTAACCTTAAACATACGTGGCGCCACGTTTAAAATTAATTGTAATACTCAAAACTCCAAGGGGTGGGAGAAGGTGAATGCCTCCTTCCTGCTAACGCCCATGTGTCACGACGTATTTGAGATTTATTTTAATATTATCCTTCCATCGTCCTATCTACACCTCGCAAGCGGTCTGTTTCCCTTCAGGTTCTGCGGCTCAAAATTTTGTATGCATTTCTGATCTGTCATATGCGATACACGCTACATTCATTACTATCCTCATTAATTTAATCACCGAAATAAACTCTCCTCATAAATCCTCAATTTAAGTCATGAATGGCCTTTCTTTAAATACGTCATACACCGTTAATACAATTTTGGTGAAATTAAATCTGAGATACGTTTACATAACGTTAGCATAAACCGCTAAGAGCGCCGTTGGAAATTTTCTGTACTGCATTCTCCATCATTGTTGAGGATGACAGCAATTGAGTTCAGCGCTGGGACAATTCATGTATTTAATGTGGTCTCTCATGTATACGAAATTGATTCTCTAACTGCAGGGATGAGGGGTATTTGAGCCTTATTCTGGTGTAGCTCAGTATAATCCGTAACAGCACAGTCTGTATGACGATCGGTGACAGTGTGAGCCTCACGCTCGCCTGGAGGTGCCCCGTTAGAATCTCAGACAGGACACCGACTATCGTTCCTGAGGTTCTTTGTGGTTTTTCTCAGTACCTGAAGTAAAATCCTGCTATAATAAAAGATAAAGCTATCCCTGTAACGGTCGTGAAGGCCCATAGAGTTTTGAGACGTTGAGTCTGCCACATTTTCTAAACAATCCATGACCGGGCTCCTTCCAAATGCCTTTCAGTTCATATACCTACCATTCGACACTATACAATGTTAGATCCTGGCAATGTCGTAAAGTAGCTCACAAAACAGAAACAGCAGCTTATCTCCCGTTAGTCTAGGTTTTATATGCGGAAGACTTTCAAGAGGTTTCCCCATAGAAATCCTAATGGTTTTCTTGTTTCTTCAGTCCAGGCTGGGTCGTTGTGAGCACCTTGATGACATTATGAACGGAGTTTCAATCACGTAATTGCTTTGCCGTGTAACGTCCACATTTATTCTTGTTAAGCTAGTACTTTCGTGAACAACCTATAGTTTCCATGCCAGTGATTCACAAACAATCCCCCCCCCCCATTATTGTTGTTTCCGCCCTTTGGATGGTGGACGCGAACAGGCAGAATGATGCGTTGGTTTTCATTGTGACTACGGGAGGGACACTTCACTTGTTTCACGTATTGTTTGTTTCACAAAATGGCGTCTTTATCTTATCCTAAATGAGAATCGCAAACATCCAGTGTAAGAAAGTTCACTTCACGAGACAGATAAGTGTCAGTCGTTTCTGTAAAGCTATTTGCGGAAACGTCAAGATTGGTGGTGAACATAAATCAGGATGATTGGTGACCCAGCCGAGATTCGAACCAAGCAAGACATGAATGAAGTCCAGAGTGTTACCACTACACCAATTTGCGCGGACCTTGTATTAAATAAGTAAAACGTTAAATGTGTCACGTTTGATGCAAATGTATTCGTTCGTTCGAAGTTACCGGGGAGCAAAACACCATGCACGCACGCACATGGATATAACGGTATAATTTCATCGTCCCATGTATATTACGGAAAGCGAGCGAGTTATGAACTACAACTTTTTGCTGACGAATTGGTTCTCATGTACCTACACCACGGAGGTGAATGTGAATACATATTCATTACGCATTTGTGCTTGGCTTGTACTTAAACTATGTATCAGGCCGCGTCACAAAATACAGCCCAAAGATACAAACTGTCAATGCTTTCCGCTGTCCCATTCCACTTAATAAAGACCAGTATCGGGGTCGCATATATGTGAAACTGTAGTCGATACGTGCTCCTCGAATGGAGTACACGAAGATGTCACGTGACTATCGATAAAGCTGTTTTAATACAGATCAGCTGATTGCCAGACATGCCAACCTCCGCCTCGCTCATCCTGAGATTTCTGCTACAAATCGCCCAGTGTCTTATTTACGTTTAATAAAAAAGTTACACAGAAATGTGAATCTTCATTTGCAAGAGCGCATATTCAGGTGCAGATCATAAAAGCAGTGTATTTCGTGGAATCCTGGGCTTTCAAGAAGCGAAAATAAGGGTAACGAATGGAAGATTCCATTACGTTATTATACATTTCATTTAAAGTACTTTTCGTTTTGGAACTTCTTTAGATTAAAAACCTGGCTTGCAGAGGATGAAATTACTCATAAGAAACTAAAGTATGCTTTTGCCTCAGAGGTAAAGAATTTTTGTCATTACATGTAGTTCCTCAGCTGATAACTTTCGTGAGCACATACTTCGGCAAAACTGGATTTTCGAATTACGCTGTAACCGAAATAAAATACAGTAATCGACTAAAGGCGGCTCCATATTAGAGAATTCAGCTTTCCAATATCAAGCCTAACATAAAACGAATTTGTGAAGAAACCAAAATGAAAACCACTATGCCCATTTAAAATTGTAAATATGTCATATTATTTTTAAGCCTCATTTTTCGTAAACATGAATTGCGTTTTATTTCTAAATATGATTAATTAAATATATATTGATCTCAAATCTTTAACATTTATTATTATTAACCTTACTTATTTGTGATGTAGTTTTTTAGCTTCATGTGTAAGAATTTTGACAGGGATTCCTTAAGAAGTTGTCGATTACGAAAGGGTTGCTTTGCCTAATTAAATTTGGAAACTAAAGACAAACTATGCTTGACATTTGACATAAATTACAAATCCTATAACTTATGCAATACCATATTATGTTGTTCCGTGGGCCTACAAATAAATAATAATGATGTATCATTATCATCACTCTTGGCGCAGAACAAAGAGCTTATTGTGCACGGCGGAAATTAAGTAAAATCGCCGCTAGAGCCATGAAAAGACCTGGTTTGTAATGGATTTTTAAAAGTTTCTTTCTTATATTTTCATATGCTGCTAAAATGTATCACAAAAATCTTCGATTGACCAAGATAACGAGGTGACGCCAAAACAAAGACGACCTTGACAATCAGCTGTTCTGTGTTCGCATACAAAGAGATGCCCAGCTGATTTTTGTTTACATAATTAGGCTGTTTTCTAAAATAAAACTGATGGTAATGGAATGAAGTAGCTATATATTGAAGGAAGCGATTGATGTATTATCATACTTACAGTTGTAGCTGAACAGTTGCAAATATCCCTCGTAGGTGTTTATGGCAGAATATGGGCTTCACAACAGCCTACCCCTTCGCACCGACTTGCGAAGATGGCAGCCAGCTGATTGTTGTCTATTGGGTTTTAAAGAGACTCGACGTCGCTATTGGGTAACATTCGACCAATTGAATACTTCGTAGGAAGGCTGTCTACCCTGCTCTTTGTAGCAATTGAGAGCGGAAATGACAATAAAAATTGTTAATCTTACATGTATGTATGTATGTACAGTGTGCTATTTTATTTTTTCGTTTCTTACGTATGTAGTTTTATGTATAAACGTCGTAGAAAAATCGTCGTTAATTTTTTTTTGTGTCAATCCGCATTCATAATTCTCCGTTTTTATATTTTGTTGTATATCATGCGCAGTATATACAAGTAATAAAACGAAGCAAGGCTCCGAAAGTAGGCTGGAGACTCATTCGTTAATACCTGATTCTCTCGAAATTACTTCCATTGGATTGGTGTAATTTTAAAGCCACCAGATAAGATGGGTTATAATTGTACAACCCCGTCCCCCCAAATCTGATATGAGTAGGTTGTCTTTTGTGGGCGGTGTAAAGAAGCTACTTGAGTGGATCAAATTCTTGTTTAGCTTTAATTTTTTCGATCGATTATAAATACTACAGCCGTAATTTCATGATCATGACGATATGAAACAATCATGCGCACAAAACGATGGGAGACAGATTTCATCTAAGCCAAGTTTGTGATAGTTTTACAGCTACAAATTCTGGTTGAAATATATAGCAGAGCCATTATTCCAGACATCATACAACTTAGCTGACAAAAGATAGGTTATGTTAAGTTAGGTTATTTATGCTAGTCGATAAGTATTGTAAGGTGATGAAAGATAGGTTAGGTTAGGTTATATGTTGCGTGATAAATATGATTAGGTAGCAAAAGATAGGTTAGTTTGTTTCTTTTATTTCCAATAAAATTTATGGGGAATCACCCCTCTGCCACATGTTTTTACTGAAGTTTCTCTAGAGTGCTTTAGTTTATCATATTATTGATTCCAAATCTTTGAACTGGAATTTGTTACCACGTATGCTCTCTTCTTGGATTTGAGACTCTTTGCACACACATTTCATGTTTGTAATGTGTCAGCACACTGTGAAAATTGGCCGTCAGTATCTAGAACAAATGAAATTTGCCTATTTGAGAAGTGAACGGGAGATAGAGGTGGACTTTGTCCCAACAGTTTTAGTAACTATCCAACGATATTTTCACTCTTGTAGGCCATTGCTTCACAAACCATTTCTCATACATTGTAATCTCTCATAGTGTTTCCTTTCACATGCATTTTCAGTCTCTTAATATGCCCTTTGTATATGCTTCACTGTGCCTTGTTCTAGGTCTCAGGCTTCTGTTGTCTCTGTTTCTCCTCTTATTCTTCTACTACTACTAGTATAATTTTCATCTTATCCAGGTTAATGCACAAAAAGCCAGACAACTGCCCCCCCCCCCCCACACACACTTTATTGAAAAAATCAAACTTTAGAAAAGAATGAAATCGACCAAATATTGATATAAAGGTTATTCATCTCTTATGAACATTTTAGGGAACTCAGCGGAATTATTCCTAAACAGCTTAAAAGTAAATTTGTGAACAGATTTTCTGGCTGCCCCCCAAGAATAAATCTTGTCATCTACTAAGCGCTATGGCATGAAGATGTATGGGGGAGTGGTTGTATAGATCCACATTTTCTTGACCTTGGAACTAGTTAGAGGTGAGTGGTCAATTTCACAACCAGGACGCTTTACCCCCGGGGAAAGAGCCCCCAGTACCCATCAGATAGAGGAGGTTGGGTGGCCCCCAGAGCCAGTCTGGATGACGTGGAGAAGAGAAAATTCTTGACCTTACTGGGACTCAAACTCCAAGTCCTCAGTCGTCCAACTCGTAGCCAGTCACTATTTTGACCACACCATCCCAGCTCCTTCCGTTGCTGTGTGTATATCTCAGTATCTTCCGTGATGCTGATTCCTACAAGTTGACTCCTTTTAATGTCAGACCTAAAGTGATATCTTCTTGAAGAGTGTACCTGAAATGACTTTACCTTCACTGTAAACATAATGTTTCAGTATCTTTTTTGCAGGTTAGAACTGGAGACTGCATGGGCTAAAGAATTTTTGAATAAGTTACAGCTCAAGAGTGTGAAGAAAAGAGTGTGTGTGGATACTTCCAGTTGTGACTCAGAACATGGTATTTTATTATTATGAATATGTATATTATGTTGAGCCCTGGCCATTCTCTGAGGTGTGTGGTAGTTGGTGCTGTTCCCTTAATGAAATAACTGGGTGTATTCATTCTGACATTTGTTATTACTTTTGTTTTCTTACTAACCACTGGATTACTGGTATCTGGCTATGAAAAGTACCCCAGAAAAAGGACAGCGTCAATCACAATATGTGTGTAATAATCTGATTGTTGTCACAGGCTTTTCAAAAATGAAGAGTTTAATGAAAAATTTTGTGTTACTCCTCATGAACTGTTGAGGAGAATAGTTTCTACACTTGCTGCTTTTGACACATTTCTTCCTTTTTACAGACTATGTCCAAATTGGTACTGAATTCAAGTTTCACTGCTTTCGTGAGAAGACTTCCCAGAGTAAAATATTTCCACACAGATACAAAACATCTTTCAAGCCAGTCACCACAAAATCGTCGTACGTATGTGAAATATGGTACACTGGTGTTTGCAACAGGCCTAGGCACAGTATACTATTACCAGCTGACAGATCATGAGAAGCGAAAGCTCCGAGTCACTTTGAGTGGCATTGGCCGATTTTTCAGGTTTGTTCTTCTTTGGTACCAACACCCTGATTTGTAGTAGCTGAGAAACTTTTTACATTCCTTCAGTAACTTCGCTGATGTTGAGCAGATTACGGCTCAGAGATTACTGCGTACTGAGATGTGATGCCCTGTAGGCTCGTAGGAAGATAGTAACAGAACCTTCTGACTCCATCTTCAGGGTAGAAGATGGAGGCAGAAATTGCTATTCATAATCACTTTTCTATTTAGCCTAAGCACCAAGCAGGTTGGTCTGTATGTAACTCCCTAGACTTTTATTCAAGATATGCACAGATCAAATCTCGACTGGACCATGGGCTATTATGACTTGTTTTGTGGTTATCCTCAGCCCCTCCAGGTAAATGTTTGGATAGTACCTCAACTGGGCCATGGCCACTTCCTTCCAAATCCTGTTCAGTTTGTCAGACATCCCACCATTTTATATTTATATACAGGGTATCCCAGGAGGAAAGGGCAGTGTTCTGGGATGACATAATATTGGTCATTCTAAGCAAAAAATTGTATATGTACATGTGTTCCGTTCCAAACGGTTTCTGAGATAGTGCTGTTTCGCTGTACAGACAAGCAACATGCTACGTCCTCACACGAGTTGCAAAATGCATTGATGTTGACAGTGGAATTTTCAAAAATGTATTATGCTAGGTAAACTGTATGAACTTTGTCACCTGAGCAATAAATATTGGTATTAGAAACAGTATGTAATATCTCTTTCTTATTAACAAATTTAGAACTGTACGGTGAAGTAGCTCTCTCAGAAACCATTCGGAATAGGACAGATTTACAAATGTACAGTTTTGCTTAGAATGACCAATAATATGACCTCCCAGAATATTGACTTTTCCTCATGGGACACCCTGTAAAGAATAGATACGGATGTTGTCATTAAGTATGATATGTATAACCTAAACAATTGATATGTCATTAAATAAACCAAGACAAACTATAATGTGTTACAAAAGACGGTGTATACTTTTTAGACACCTCAGTTGTGTCAGTGTTCAGAAAATGATACCTTTGCTGGGTTTGAGGTCCGAGCAGCAGTGGCTATGGAGAGTATGGTCCTGTGGGTTGTAACAACATGTGTTACAGAGAGAGCCCATCGTTTTTGAGGAACATATCTTCCATCTTGGCAGAGCTTGGTGCTTGTTTCTGCTGATTTCTTGTGTCACTCTGCATCTCTGAAGATGAAGGCAATATGTTCTTCCAGAATGATGGGCTGTCTCCAAACTACACAACATTGCAACCGAAAACACTGTTTTCTTCTTGTCTAATGAGCGTTGCTGTATAATTTTGGATGTACTCTGTACTTAACAGGTCTTTGAGAACAGGGCTAACAATATCAGCAGATTACTGGTGGTCTCTTTGGGGTCTGGAAGAGGGAACTAAAGAGTATGAGGACGCTGTTCATCCGTTACACCAGCGCGCTGCTGACAGGATTCTAGACGCCTGTCTGAGGAATGGGGGTCTGTACATAAAGCTGGGTCAAGGACTCGTGTGTCTCAATCACATTTTACCGAATGAGTATTTGGAAACATTAAGAGTAAGTGTACTGTAATGAGAATACTGTTTTCTGGGATGTAATGCCATTTAGTCTGGTAGATCTTTGTGGTTTCATTGTATTAACGTACTGCTTTTCCAGGCACTTCAAGATAAGTGTTTGACTCGAGAGAAGGGTGAATTGAAGCGGTTATTTCTGGAGGATTTTGGTGTGCCCCATACAGAGATATTTGAAAGTTTTGATGAGGAACCCATTGCTGCTGCGAGCTTAGCACAGGTAATAAAGAAGGCTTGTTTCATTAGTTCTGACACTTCTTCGCTTTTTGCGTATCTCGGTATGAAACTAGCTTGAATACCATTCTTATAGTACAGTATGGTTGGTCTGAGAATTCTTGGTTATGATGATAGTGGGATGCAAGAAAAAACATCAGTGGAAGAAAATACGAATATCTATGATTACATGTAAAGTGAAATGGGAAATGGTGGTAAGATAGAATGAGAGTGAAGCAGAAGTAAATACAAACAAGTAGTAATTGGTTGGTGTAGAAATAGGGTAGAGATAAAGTTGTCCCTTTGCTTAACCAATTAAGCACTATATCTTGAAGGCGTATGGGGGAGTGGCTATATAGATCCACACATTTTCTTGACCTTGGCACTAGTTGGAGGTGACTGGTCAGCTTCATGCCCTTGCTGGCTTTTTGCTGGTGAAAGAGCTCCTGGTACCCATTAGATAGGAGCCTGGGTGAGCTCCAGAGCCAGTCTGGACATTATGGAGAAGAACAAATTCTTGACCCTACCTGGACTTTAACTCTGAACCCTCAGTCGTCCAGCCCATAGCCAATCGCTATCCCAGCTCCTAACAATAGGATATGTGCAGGGCGTTCAGTCAAGGAGGAAACTTTGCAACATCGTTGAGTGGGCCCAACATTCCTCACAGATTGCTGCTATAACAGCCAATAGCAGAATGAGTTATTAGCACTGATAAACGCGCGTACTCTCGCTGGTGTAGAGTGGATGGAATGTTTCTCTGCTACTATTCCTTCACATCAGTTTCTGTACATGCACATATTTATAAGAATACTGTAAAAAAATAACAGACTTACTTTGCTTTATAACAGGTGCTGAAAGTGATCCTCTTCTTCTTGCAATCATGCCTCGCATCGCATAAATAAATTATGCGACACTTTCTGAAGTTGGCTCATGGTCATTGAACCAGTTACGCATGTTATTGCATTCTACAGAGCTTCAGTGGTGCGAGGATTATTCTTGTAGACTTTTCCCTTTAGGTTTCCCGAAAGATAAAAATTGAAAAATCTGAGATCTGTGGATCTTGGAGGCCACAGTCCCCTCCTGATTATTCTGTCTTCAAACACTTCCCGTATTGCGAACATGGTTGCATTAGCCGTATGTGCTGTAGCATTGTCTTGCTGAGAATACCCATATTGTCTTCCTTCAGCAGTCAGCTGGTTGAAGAATGGATTCAGTATATCATTAATGTACCGACCAGAGTTCACGGTTTCACGGAAAAATAAGGGGCCAATTATTCGTCACGGACTGACAGCACACCACACTCCCACCTTTTCACTATGTAATGGCACTTGCTGTATAGCCTGAGGATTTTCCTCACTCCGTATTCTTACATTTTGTGCATTGACATGATCACTGAGGTGAAACCCCGCTTCATCAATCACAAACAGAAGCTGTGGATCCACGATTCCATCGTGCACATTTTCCAGCAGCCAGTTGCAAAAACGAATTCTTGCTGCATAATCTGGTTGATCTCATGCACAGCTGTTATTTTATAGTGGTGAAATTTGATTAGTTTTGTGACCGTGAAAGCAGATCGTAGCGAAACACCAGTTTCCTGTTCTAAGCGCCTTAACGATTTTCAAGGCCTCATCTGTAGTAGTGCCTCAATATCCCGAAACTTTTCTTCAGTCAGCACAATCCTCTTCCATTGCTTCTTTATGTCACACACTGAACCTGTGGCCTGCCACTTTTTCACAAGCTTGGATACACACGACTTTATGGGAATTGGAGAATCAGGATATTTATAATGAAACGTACGGATGTATTTCCCTTAAGTTTTCTTCCTTTCAAAGTTTCGACAGTATATTCTATAGTGAACTTCATTTCAGTATAAATGTCAGCCGCCTATCGAAATCTCTAACACAGACTGACTATTAATGGGACTTAACTGCAGTGACAAGATCACGCCACCCAACAGCGCGCGTTTGTTAGTGCTAATGACTCATTCTGCTATCGGGAGTTACAGCAGCAATCTGTAAGGAATATTGAGTCTGGTCAGTGGTGTTGCAAAGTTTCCTCCTTGACTGAACACAGTGTATAATGAAAATGTAAACATATAATAGATGATTTGTGTACTGTAGGAGTTGTAATTTAATTGGGATGCTGGAGCATAGGACCAGAGAGTCAGACTCCGGCATCACAGAATGTAAATTCTAATGGACTTAATAATGTGTAAGTGTAAGTAAATGAAGCAAAGATTGAGTGTATTCAGTTGTAAGACTACAGTGTAAAGAGTACTGGGGCTAGTGGATGTAACAAGTGTTGCTAACTTTCAGGTGTACCATGCTAAAACCAAAGATGGGAGAGAAGTTGCTGTGAAGGTGCAGTATATAGATCTCCAAGATCGCTTTATTGGTGATGTTTCAACCATCAAACTGTTGCTGAAAGTAGTTGGATTGATGCATCCAAACTTTGATTTTGAGTGGGTTCTTGAGGTATGTGCATTCTGTATAATTAGAATAGGATTTTATGCAGACTCATCCTGTTCTGAGCCAGTTGAGGCGAGATTAAACCTTCTCAAAGATCCATTTTAATATTTTTCACCCATCTGTGCCTAAGACTCCCAAGTGGCCTCTTTCATTAATATGTATTCATGTTTTATTCCCCCTAAACCTATTCCTTTTTTCAGTCGTAGCGTAGTTGCTTGAGGCACTATGCTACAAGCCAGACTGTCACGGTTTCAGTTCCCAGAGGGGTAACTGGATATTTCAGTTTGCCCAGTCCTTCCAACTGCACTATGGCCCTGGGGTTGACTCCGCCTCTAACAGAAGTGAGTACCAGGAATCTCCTTGGGTTATAGGACAGCCAGCATGTAAGCCTGTCAACCTCACCACCATTTGTGAGCCAGTTGTCTAGATAATGTTGGAGCCTCAAAGACTCTCAACCCCATGGGCCTCCACGGCCTGTTGCAGGGATAGCTTTACCTTTTGTTTACATGCTAAGTAAAAGGTGAAAGGGTAAAGTTGTCCCTGTGCTTCATTAAGCACCTCACCATGAATATGTATGGGGTAGTGGGGGTATAGTTCCATATGTTCCTAACTTCTGAACTAGGTGAAGGGAAGCAGGTTGTCAGCTTCATGCCCTGGCTCCCTTATCCTCAGGTAAATAACCCCACCCCCCGGTACTCATTGGATAAGAGACTGGGTGGACCCCAGAGCCAGTCTGGACACTGTAGGAAAGAGAAAAATCCCTTGCTCTTCCCCAGAATCAGACGCTGATTTCTTAACTCTCTGTGCCTTCGCTCATTGCTGTGCTGACTGAGCTGTCTTGGTTCATAACAGTAGTAGAAGTACAAATCGTGAAGCCCCTCGTTGTGTTATCTTCTTCATTCCTCTTTTACTTTCTCTCAGGTTGGTCCACATACTCCCCTTGATGGTGTCTTATGAAACTCCAGCATCTTCCACTGTTCCTAGATTGCATTGTGCAGAGAAAGTGGATTATATTATAAAAATACTCAGTTTGACAGATTTAGCTGTTGGTGTTGCTGTTGAGTGCAGTGTTCATAGGAACTTGAAAGTGAACGTGATATGTTTCTGTGTGCCCTACAGGACCTACGAGAAACTCTGGAACAGGAACTTGACTTTATTAATGAAGGCAGAAATTCAGAACGCTGTGCAAAAGATCTCTCCAAGTTCTCATTTGTTTATGTACCTCAAGTTCTGTGGAATTTGAGTACCAAGGTATTGTGCAATCATTTCTACCCTTATGGTACTCCTGATTTTCAGTAATGAATTAATTAAACAGAACACCATTCATTGTGTGTTGTTGAAAAGTTTGGTGCATTTATGAATGTAATTCTTTAGAACAATTAAAATGACTACAAGGCATACGGATGAAGTATTTCATTTAGACGACCATAACAGATGAATCATTGTAACTTGAAATATTATACAGTGCAACCGCAACGGAAGATTCTCTTTATTAAAAAATTGTTACACTTTTTGGAAATTAATCTTAACGTACCAACAAAGTGTAATGCTCAGGATGTCCTTATAAAGTTATACAGTGAAATAGTATCAATATGTATATATTAATATTAAATCCTGTTTATGTAATTGCAGAGAATTCTGACTACAGAGTTCATCCATGGTACTAAAATCAGCAATGTTGACTCATTAAGGAGAGAGGGTTTCTCATTGGCCGAAATTGACAGGAAGTTGTTCCGAGCATTTGCTGAACAGATATTCCATACAGGATTTGTGCATGCAGATCCACATCCTGGAAATGGTAAGAAACACACCATTGTGTTCAGGCTATCACTTTGAGCAGAAAGCTTTCAAAATACATTTGTAATATGAGAAAATTAAATTTATCCTGGGGCTTCATTACTTGAGCACACTGCCATAAAGATGTATGGGGGAGTGGAGATAGAGCGATATCATTCTTGACCTTGGTCCTAGAGGCTGGGTGGGCACCATAGCCAGTTTGGATGCTACGAATTGGAGAAAAATCTGACCCCTGCCAGGAATGGCACCCTGGCCTTTCAGCCCCATAGCCCATTGCTGTGCTAAGTGGTGAAACGTACAGCTGTCCCCATAACAGACTGTGGTACGCATAGGTTTTTGAGAGATTGAGGCTCCCACAATTTGAAGACACTTGGTTCACAGATAGCGGTGATGTTGTCAGCCTTATGCGCCAGCCACCTTTTACCCACACAAAGATTCCTGGTACTCATTTCTGTTAGAGGCTGAGTCGACACCAGGGCCATAGTGCAACTGGAAGAATTAGGTCAATTGAAAAATCCAATGTTCTCATCAGGAATTGAACCCACAACCTTATGGCTTGTAGCATATGAGGGGGTACCCAAAAGAAACCGAACTTATTTTTTTTTAAACTTATTCAAATTTTAAGCACAAACCTTCAGTCCCCTTCAAAGTACTCTCCACTTACACTAATACACTTGTCTAGTCTTTTATTCCATTTTTCAAAACATTGTCTAAATTCATCTTTTGAGATGCTTGACAGCGCCTCCGTCGTTTTTTCCTTCACCTCAGCAACATCAGCAAAACGCTTTCCGTTCATGTCTCTTTTCATTCGAGGAAACAAAAAAAAAGTCGCACGGGGCAAGGTCGGGTGAGTATGGAGGGTGAGGCACAGGGGTCATACCATTTTTGGTCAAGAATTGTCATACAGACAGGGCTGTGTGAGCAGGAGCATTGTCATGATGGAAAAATTCACTGAACTGAGCTCCAAGTCACTCCCGACAGCTCCACAATTTCTTCAATGGTCTGTTGTCGATCTTCCTTGATGATTTCACGAATTTTTTCAACTTTTTCATGTTTTTGGGCCGTGGAAGAACGACCAGAATGAGGTTTGTCATCAATTGACATTTCACCATTTTTGAAACGGGAAAACCATTCAAACACTTGAGTTTTCCCCATAGCATCGTCCTTGTACGCCGTTTTTAACATTTCAAGAGTTTCTGTTCCACTTTTCCTGAGCAAAAAGCAGAATTTCACTGCCGCACACTGTTCACGAAAATCAGCCATTGCAAAAACGACGATCACACAAAACAGTTGTCACTGTAAACTCTGCCGAAACTAGTCCTTACCTTCTGAAGCAACGGTAGTCGGCTTATCGACTCAGGAATGTTAGCTCTATGCGCTCATAGCGACAAAACGCGGTACAACAAAAGCTCTGCCCACAAAAAAATTAGTTCGGTTTCTTTTGGGTACCCCATCGTAGTGCCTCAACCAGCTATACTACTGCATGCACCAAGGCAAAGTTATCCTTCTGATGGAGGGCTATAGGTTTGTGAGACAAGGCTCCCATGTTTTCTAGACAATCATGAATATATAGTCTGTCAGAAGGCATGTCTAAATTAGAGTTGCATCGTCATATGACAGTTGAGAGCAAAGTGTTGTATTTGGTGAGAGAGATGTGTGTAAATAGTCTCATATTCTTGAAGAGCACTGTCTTCTGGGATATTGCACTTTGCAGCTTTTTGGACAGGTTCCTCTGAAATGTATCTATCTGTAAACTACATAAGAGTCACATCTCAGAAGACAGTAATCTTCATGGTCTCTGCAGTGCAGAGCTGCCCCTATGCATGTGATTTAGGTTGTTAGTAATTTGCTTGTGGTCATTGACCCCAAAATTATTCATGTGATCAAATTAAACAGACTTGAGGTTCTCACAGCAGTGAATAATTACATTAATGTGTTTTGGGTGTAATGCCATGTATTAGATAGGTACTGACATTTCAGAAGAACCTGCTGCCTCCATCTTCATGATAGAAGAATAAGCTACGCAGGATAATGAGGGTACAGATTTAAGGAAATGAGGAAGGGTAACAGAATTGTGAGCATGTCAGTGGGAGGCGGAGGCCCCGAAAAGGCAAGGCTAAGCCGTTAAGGCTAAAAAAAGGTAAGAAAAAATGTTTTGAAGCTACCAGACTGCAATGGCATCACAGACCAGGAGAAAGTATTCGGAATGGAATTCATTTAAGAACATGTCCAGTTTCCAACTTTTGGCATTTGTCGTGTGGAAGTTTGAGTTCTGTAACATTGCCTTCCTCTTTCCAGCTATTAATGTCAGCTGTTCGCAAATTTCTCCTTTTATTTCAGTGCTTGTTAGGAAGGCTGCGGATGGGAAAGCAGAGCTTGTTTTGTTGGATCATGGCCTCTACGAGTATCTACTGCCCTCTGTACGCCAACCCCTCTGTCGTCTATGGAAAGCAATTGTTATGAATAATCATTTCGACATGAGGACTCATGCACGTGACTTAGGTGTGGAAGGTAATGTGTCACCATTCGAGGGTAAATATTAGTGTGAACATGGCATTATACAGGTACTTTTTTATTGGTTGGAAACAGAATGCAATTCAAGGCATGGCACAGAAATGTTGTTGGAAGTATTTGTAGTGCCATAAATTTGGCAGCCTTATTTAGTATCATCTCAGTAATGGAATTCTTTTGGTACAACAGGAGAACAGTGTTGTATGTAATTCTGTAGGAAACAATTTATGGTCGTATTTCTTCTTTCCAGACTATTGCCAACTAGTTGAAATTTTAACACAGAGACCGTTGAATGTCAGTATCAAATTTAAGACAAGATTAAGTGAAGAAGACATAATGTACATGACAGAATTGGCACGTCGTAGGTTTGATAAAGTTATGGAAGCTCTTCGTTCCATGCCAAGATCCATGTTATTAGTCATTAGGTGAGTTGATCTTCATTATTTTAAGATCGTCTTCATTTTTATGTTGAAAATTAAGCAATATATGACTGAATTAATAAACATGCCCACATATGCAGATACCCCACAGACAAGTAGGCTAGACCAAACCGCTACAGCATAGCGACCAACACAGAGAGCAGCCCATACACACCATCCATATTTTCTTTTTATTGCTAGTGGGGTGGAACTAAGTTCCTTGCACTATGGCCACTTCTGGCCTATTGTGCCAGCCCCAGATGATAGGTGAGGGTGATTGTGGAGCAACTGGTGAAATGAAGATTGGCAGGGGAAACTGAAGTACTTGGAGAAAACCTGCCCCAGTGCAACTTTGTCCACCACAAATCACACTTGACCAGACCCGGAATCGAACCCGGGCTGCCGCAGTGGGAAGCCAGCGACTAACTGCTTGAGCTATGGCCCAGCCCCACCCCATCCATAAGAACAACCTAATATACCTGTATATCACATACTGAATAATGAGCATAAGCTCCGTAAGACATTACTAAGTTCATGACTGAATGACCTATCCCACGTAAGAAGATTCGATCAGCGTGGGCCCCATGCTATAGTTGCTTCTATCGGCATAAGAACCAGGCCAACACGTAGCGGTTGCAATCTTACTACAAAAACAGAATTTCAACTTTCATGCCTTATTCTTTAGTTTCAATTTTAACACTTTGCAGACCGGCAATTTAAATATTTAAATCACCCTGGGGACCGGTATTTTTAAACCTACTATCCTAACTTGTGCACTGTTCACTTTAAAAATTAATATAAAATCTCCTAATTAATTTTATGAACTAAAATTTTTGGAGAACGCTTACCAGTGCTCCTAGAAGTGCTTGAGAATGTGATATTTCTGGAAACATTCCCCTTTGTGAAGTGGCATTACACAGAACTTGCAAATGTAGGCAGTCATACTCCTTTTTCTGTGAACTGCCAAACACAGCATTGCCTAGAAGGATGTTTCCCTTTGGAATGTTCACTCTTCACAATTTTCACGAGGGTATGTTTCCGCATATCACCCGAGTCGCCTAGGGGGTCCACATGAGGCCTGCGTGGGGTGGGAGTTGATGGGCCCGGTCACACTAAGTCTGTGTCTGACTCTCGTTCTGCCACCACCATCTGGTCTGCAGCCCAGGCCTTCACCATATTCATCAGAAATGCTTTGTATTTCAATTTTGAATCAGGGTTTAGATTTTTGTAAACCAAAAATGAATTGAAAATGGCACTATTTATAAGCCGCAAGGCAACTTCCTTTGTCCACTTTACTGTTTTCTGAGGAAGAGAATAATAGGCCAAGTACTGATCAGCTCTGTCAACTCCCTTCATGAACATATTATACTCAGAAATTCAAATAGGCTTCTTTACTTGTCCATCTCTCCTTTGAACATCAACCATGCTCTAATTGTGAATTGTGGAAATCACATTCACGACACGAGTATCCCTCCAGGACTGAAGAAGAATATCCCCCTTCCTCCTGAATGTGGTTTCACCTCATTTCAGGGATTTAGAGTCCTCTTTCAGATCTGGAGGAAGGCCTCTGCTCACCCTAATTGTTCCACAAACACGTACGTTTCTCGAAAGAAGGTATCCTGCAGTTACTACACTGTTATAATAATTTTCTTGATAGACATGGTAATTTTAATCAAGATAGGATTCCAAAACGGAAACAATAGATCCTTGTAAGTTTATGCCTTCACCAGAATAAATTTCCAATATAGACTGAAGTGCTTTCAGTAACTACACGAACAAGTAGGCCATACTTTCTTGTTCTCCGAGAGATCACTTCAACCGGTTTCGTCCTTGATCCATATTGCACTACTAACTTACTGCCTGGTACATACAGCTTGAAGACAAACAAAGGCATTTTCCTTTGGATTGGGATAGGAAAACAGCGAGGTCATGTTACTGACTACTAAGCAAACATTCGGGAGTTCTATTACGCACCAGTGATGCATCTGTGTGGGGCCAGAGCAAGGTATAGTGTGTTGCAACATAACGTGTCCAAAAATTATAATAATATGCAACCGGTCTTGCCACATTTAAAAGCGAAACGCATAATATTATGTGACTGGTCCACAAACTGTTAAAGTACAAGTATGTTTCCACCTTCTTCTATTTAAGGCAGTGCAAGGGTTTGTAGATTTTAGTTTGGTGAAAGTTTCATTGAGTGTTATTCATTGTATGATCGAGGGGCTATGCTAAAAGCCGGAAGGTCACGGGTTCAAGTCTCGATGAGGTCATTGGATTTTTTTCAATTGACTCAATCCTTCCAGCCGCACTATGGCCCTGTGGTTCACTCAGCCTCTAACAGAAATTGGTACCAGGAATTAATGAAATAATTTTCCTGGGGAGTAAAGCGCCGCCGGTGCGTAAGGCTGACAACCTTGCCTCCATCTTTGAGCCGATTGTCCAGAAAATGTGGGACCCTCAACGTCTCACAACCCTATGGGCCTTCACGGCCGGGTACAGGGATAGCTCTACTTTACTTTTTTATCCACAAAATGCATGATTCCTTCCACTTGGTTCTGAGAAGAGCCAAGCCGAATCCTGTGAAGGTAGTGCTAGTGAGATGAAGGAACCAGTTATGGATAGCCTTTTCTGTGGCATTTCCCTGGTATCAAGCATTTATACCTGTTCAGATTAAAGAAAGCCAAAACTAAATTTGTCAGGATGGTTTTAACTGTTTAAATTGTGTAGCCACTCATGCAGAGCCTTTCACTGGTCTTGTTCTGGCAGTCGGAGGGACAATTGACTTTCAACACTCAAGTCAGTTAAATGATGATAACTTTATTGTTATATACAGGGTGTATCAGAAAGAATGGATAGATTTCACAGGGTAATAAAATTGGTAAGGCTTCATCAAATCCAAATTTTATTGTTACCATCAGATTTGCCAATACATTTAGTTTATTTGTGGAATACAGTATCATCCATATGACGTCCTTGGCTTCTGATACAGACGTCGAGGCGTTTTCTGAAGTTACTCATCACTCTCACGGTCATATCTGGTGGAATCGCCGCGGTTTCTTCTCCAATCGCTGCCCTCAGCTCGTCCAGTGTATGTGGTCAATGTTTATAAACTTTCGCCTTCAAATGGCCCCAAAGGAAGAAATCGCAGGGTGCAAGATCGGGCGAACGTGCGGGCCAAGGAATGTCACCGCGATGCGAGATGATGTGCCCCGGAAAGAGCCCTCCATTGTTAGTCGCGCAATGTGAGCGGTGGCCCCATCTTGTTGAAACCAAATGTCCTCAGCATCAACAGCAAGCTCATTCAGCCTTGGTTGCAGGAAATTTTGTAACATTTCAACGTAACAAGCACTTTTAATGGTTACAGCACGGCCATCCTTAAAGAAGTAAGGCCCCCAAACACCAAATTCTGCTACAGCATACCAGACAGTTACTCTTTCACTGTGAAGAAGTCTCTCGTGCAGTTCTTTAGTATTGGTTACAAATGCAGCTGTGTTACATCATCCATTCCTTCTAGAATATTCCATATGATGAAGCATCCCCAAAGACAAAGAAATTCTCCAGCTTTTAAAACTTCATGAAATGGTGGGTCATGTTATGCAGCTGTCTACATAATGCCTACCTCATGAGTTGATTGTGTCATATTGCATCATACCTGCTTGGATAATGCATACTTATAGTGAAAGCATTATTATTAACATGTAATAAAATGTAATTAATTTAATATATTTATATATAAGACTTCTACGCTTCTCCAGGTATAATTAGAATGATCAAGGAGAAAGAGATTGGCAGGGCATGTAGCACGAATTGGAAGATGAACATGTAGGATATTGGTGGGAAAGCCAGAAGGAAAGAGACCACTGGGATGATCAAGGTGAAAGTGGGTGGACAATATTAAAATGGATCTTAGAGAGATAGGATGGAATGGTATGGATTGGATTGAATTGATCTGGCTCAGGATATGAACTGGTGGAGGGCTCCTGTGAACGCGGTAATGAATGTTCAGGTTCCACAAAATGCTGGGAAGCTCTTGAGTAGCTGCGCAATTGGTGGCTTCTCAAGAAGGGCCCAGCTCCATGAGTGAGTTATTTATATATATGTAAATGTGTAAATATGGCAGCAAAAGGAATGATTGGTTATAGGTTCCTACACGGGCTGGCTCTCTGACCTATGATAGGCGACTTCTGCAAATAGAAAACCCTGTATACATTTATGTTGGTCAAATAAGTTTCTTTCATCAGGAACTTGAATACTGTACGAGCTATTGCTAGAGACCATGGGGATCCTGTAGATCGGTATGTCATGTTGGCTCGTAGTGCATCCCAGGGACAGTTCCTGTCAGATCAGGCTGGAGTACTTCAGAGGATGTCTGCATTCAGAGATCTCCTCTTCTTTGAATTTATGCTATGGTAAGAACAAAGATGTTAAAATTTTCTTAGGATGTTTAGTGTTCAGTATGAAGCAGCGATTTCAGTCTAGGACCTTTCATTTCATGTTTGTGCTTTTATGTGAACCATCTAGAAATCAAGCTTTCCTATGCATCATTCCAGATCTCCTGTACAGTTTCATGTTATGTTCTTCATTCCTAACCTAATTTTAGGATTTACCATGAAGATGGAGGCAGCATGTTCCTCCAAAAATGTAAAAGGTAAAGTTGTGAGTGTATTTAATTATATGTACATCATGCCATGAAGACATATTGGGATGTGGTGGTATAGCTTCACCGTTCTTGACCTCAGCACAAGGTAGAGTTGAGTGGTCAGTTTCACACCTCAGCTGCTTTACCTCCGTGAAGTAGCCCCCGGTACCCATTGGAAAGGAGGCTGGCTGAACCCCAGAACCAGTCCTGTTGCTGTGGAGAAGAGAAATATCTTGCCATGCCAGGAATTGAACCTGGGCTGCCCAGCCCGTGGCCTGTCACTATAATGACTGAGCTATCCTGATACTGCAGGTTCCCTCAAAACATTCATATGGCTTCACATCCAAGAAAGCCATGATTTTAACACATGATTGAATTTGAGAACTCACAAGAATTCAGTGTTCCACAACCGCAGTCGGCAGAAGATGGCATTAAGTTTTGAAGCAAGCATTTCCTGAAGTTGAATTTCAGTGTCTCATGGCAGTGACTGTACTATAGTCTCTACTCTAGGGTGCACCATAGCTCAAGTGGTTAGTTGATGGCTTCCCACTGTGGCGGCCCGGGTTCGATCCCGGGCCTGGTCAAGTGGGATTTGTGGTGGACAAAGTGGCACTGGGGCAGGTTTTCTTTGAGTACTTCGGTTTCCCCTGCCGATCTTTATTCCACCAATTGCTCCACAATCACCGTTGCCTATCATCTGGGGCTGGTACAAAAGGCCAGTATTGGCCATAGTGCAAGGGACTTAGTCCCAACCCACTAGCAATAAAAAAAATAGTCTCTACTCTTCAAGTATTTCATGAATTTGTCTGTGTCTTGTCGAATTTGAGGTTCTCATAGCAAAAACTATGAAGAGTGCTATCTAGCAAGATGTAACACTATATGAACTTCTACCAGACTACATGGTGTCACATCCCAGAAGATGACACTCTTTATTCTTGACATAATTTCAGCGTGGACTTAATTTGTTATATAATGCTGTTGGTGTTCTCTGGCATTTTGGTTTATGGACTGGGAATGTGATATTTTTCACTGTGTTGGCTTGTGTATTATGAAGCGCCTCTTTTCCTTAGCAATGAATGTTCTTTCAACGAATTGTTAAATTTATGTATAAGCTTTTCTGTTGTTTGTTACAGGTACCTTGGTGCAAAAGTGCGATTCATTCAGCTGTATTTCATGGTGCTACGATTTGTGGGAAGGGCCCCTGATGTATCAACTCTTATGATACAATAGATCCATTTAATTCATTATTGAAAATCAGGAGTACCATAACAGTAGCAATGATTTCACAATACCTTGGTACTCAAATTCCATAGGACTTGTGGTACATAAATGAGAACTCTGAATTTCTGCCTTCATTAATAAAGTCAAGTTCCTGTTCCAGAGTTTCTTGTAGGTCCTGTAAGGCACACACAAAGATATTGCGTTCACTTTCAGGCTGCTGTGAATATTGAACTCAATATATTGCTCTTCACCAACAGCTGAATCTGTCAAACTGAGAATTTTGTAATAAAGAATGAAAAAGATAACATAACGAGGGGCTTCACGATTTGTACTTCTACTACTGTTAGGAGGGGGCATGTGGTGGTAGTGTAGTTGGTTGAGGGGCTATGCTACAAGCTGGTAGGCCGCAGGTTCAAGTCCCGATGAGGTCATTGGATTTTATTCAGTTAACCTAATCCTTCCAGCCACACTATGGCCCTGGAGTTGACTCAGCCTCTAACTGAAATGAATACCAGGAATTAATTAGATAATTTTCCTGGGGAGTAAAGTGCGGCTGGCGCGTAAGGGTATCTATGAGTCAATTGTCTAGATAATGTGGGACCCTTACCATCTCACAACCCTATGGGCCTTCATGGCCTGATACATGGATAGCTTTACTTTTTACTTTTTACTACTGTTAGGAACCAAGATAGCTCAGTCAGCATAGGAATGGGTGAAGGCACAGAGAGCTAAGAAATCAGCGTCTGATTCTGGGCAAGAGTAAGGGATTTTTCTCTTTCCTACATTCCCTACAGACCAGCTCTGGTGCCCACTCAGTCTCTTATTCAATAAGCACCGGGGGGTGGGGTTATTTACTTGAGGATAAGGGGCCAGGGCATGAAGCTGACAACTTGCTTCCCTTCGCCTAGTTCAGAAGTTAGGAACATATGGAACTACACCCACACTACCCCATAAATAAATAAATAAATAAATGTACAAGGGGTGGGCTCTTCTCAGCCCTTGCACCACAACCTACAGTGTGAGAGCTTACTGCTCAGACAACGTGATAGCCTCAACACAGTGGTGTGTTTTCTTACCATTTCCAGGATGTGGGTCTGCATGCACAAATCCTGTATGGAATATCTGTTCGGCAAAGGCCTCGAACAGCTTCCTGTCAATATCAGCAAATTAGAATCCCTGTTTCCTTTTGGATTCAGCATCGCTGATTTTAGTTCCAAGTATAAATTCTGTAGTCAGAATTCTCTGAAATTACATAAACAGAGTTTAAGAACCCTCAGTAATACTGTTGTGCAGTTTATGATTCTCAAGAATTAGAAATTATGGTTTTCATACTAATTTCAAACACTAATATATACATATTGTCAGCGGCCTCTGTAGTCTAGGGGTAACGTTCCCACCTCATGACTCATGGTACACGGGTTCAAACCCGGCGGAGGTCGTGGAATTTCTAAGGGCGGAAAAATTCAGGGAACAAGTCCTCTTGGAGGGACTTTAAGCTGTGGGTCCTGTGTCGTAGATTTACGGCACGTAAAAGATCCTCATGTCTCTAGGAAACCTCTGAGCAAAATTAGGCCACAAGTTTCCTGCCCAAGTAGTTTCCAATGCCTCTGGTAGATGGGAAATATCAGGTACTGAGGGCTGATAGCACGCACCAGTACCAGTAGGGTATGGCAAAAGTAGAAATTAAAGGGGGATGCACAATGAACCTATAACTGGTCTAAGTGCATGGGGAAACCCACTCCCTCTAATAATAATAATAATAATAATAATATACATATTGTCATGTGTTGGGTGTATGATGCGACACATACCTTCATGCCATCTTGGATATATCAAATTTATTCCACATTCACTCTTACATTTACACAATTTACAGTTTTCACAGTTACTACCATCTGCAGTGTCACAATTACTTCTCCTGCTGGAGTCACTGCCAGGCACTCGATACAACTCGACTCATAACTCAGTACTCAATCCTGAATATTTAGAGTCAGAGTTACTTTACGACTGGCAGTTTACCGCCAATCAGTTCGTCTTGGCGTCAGGCCCCTTGAGGCCTACGACCAGAGATTTTTTTTTCCCCCAACTGAAGTCTTGCGGTAATAGTCCTTATGTAACATCCTCTCTAACGAGAAGATAAGTCTGTCTCTTGTGGATACACTCGACGTTTGTTCAAGTGTATATTTCGCTGGCAGGATTGACAAGCACGTGCCCAGGTGCGGCAGTCCTTCTGCACACCTGGCCACACAAAACACTGTGCGACCTGTTTTGCCGTTGCTTTGGTCCGTGGGTGGGACAGATCATGGACGGACTGGAACATTTCGAACCGTAGAGAAGCTGGGATGTACGGCCGAGGTTTCCCGGCAGAGGTATGCAGTAGATGGACACTGTGGTACCGGGGATTGGTAGCTTTTCGAGCCGCAAAGCGGTGTTTGACTGCCGAAGTGATTGGAGCTTGTCGTCGCTGTCCTGCAATGCAGCCAATGTGTCGTAGGATGGCGCAGTGACGGACTCGACGTGGGAGAGCGCGTCGGCAACAACGTCCTGTTCCGAGATGTGTCGGATGTCGGTTCTGAATTGTGCTATGAAATCCAGGTGGTTGAATTGCCTTGGTGAGCATTTGTCCCTTTTCTGCTGGAAAGCGTAGGTGATAGATTTGTGGACTGTGAAGATGCTGAAGTGGCGCGCTTCCAGCATGTGGCGAAAGTGCTTTACGGCCTCATAGATGGCCAGCAGCTCGCGGGCATACGCACTCTTATTTTTGCTCGGCTGGGTTGAATTTCCTTGAGAAGAATGCCAGGGGCTGCCAGGCGTTCTTGACGCGTTGCTGTAGCACGGCACCCATGGCAGACATGGAGGCATCTGTGACGAGTGCAAGTGGCGCGGATGGATCGCCGTAAGCCAGTAGTGTGGCGCGTGACAGACTCGCCTTGCACTCTTCGAAGGCCCTGTGGAGCTCCGGTGTCCAAGTGATGGGGTGGGAGCCCTTGACATTGGGTCCAGGGAGGACGTCGTGCAGTGGTGCCTCGTGTGCTGCCGCGGGGTTCAGAAATCACCTGTAGTAGTTCAGCATGCCCAGGAAACGGTGGAGCTGACTGGTGGTTTTGGGAGGTTGACATTCCTGGAGTTGAGTCACTCGTTCTTCCAGCGGTTGGGAGCCTTCGGCAGACACCTTATAACCGAGGAAGGTGATCTCAGGTACTCAGAAGACGTACTTCCCCGGGTTGATGATCATCCCATACTTCTGCAGTCGGTCGAAGAGTGCCCGTAGGTGTTGCTCGTGTTCCTCTAGAGACCGGGAGAAGATGAGGGTATCATCCAGGTAAGCGAAACAGAAGTCGAGTCCCCGCAGAATGTCATCCATGAAGCTTTGGAAGGTCTATGCGGCGTTGCGCAGGCCGAAGGACATGAAGGGGAACTCGAATGGGCCGAATGAAATGGTGATGGCCGTCTTCTGTATATCATCGGGATGGATGGAAATTTGGTTGTAGGCTCTCACCAGGTCGATCTAGGAGAAGACGGAACAACCGAAAAGCTGGTGGGAGTAGCCAGACAGGGTAGCGGTCGGGGATGGTCCGGGCGTTTAAAGCTCTGTAGTCGACACAGGGACCCCAACCGTTGTCCTTCTTGGGTACAATGTGTAGTGCAGAAGACCAGGAACTCTCTGAGCGGCGAGCTGTGCCATCCCGTAACATGGCGTCGAACTCGGCTTTGGCGATAGCGAGTCGGTCCGGTGCCAGTCGCCGGGGTCGGCAGGTGACTGGCGGGCCAGGTATAGTCCGGATGTGATGCACAGTGTTGTGGCACACTTCGTGTTGGGTTCCGGCTGGGCGGGTGAGGTCCGGGAATTTGACGAGTAGGCTGTCGACTGGTGTGCCGTTACTGATGGTCTTGACGCTGGGGATCAGTGAGTTGGCTGGTGGCGCCGGGGAAGACAACGATGTGACACCGTCCAGTAGGCGGTTGTTTTGGCAGTCCACCAGGAGGCCGGAATGAGAGGAATTTGGCTCTGATGAGTGGCTGAGTAATGTCGGCCACTATGAATCGCCACGTGAAATCCCGACGTAGTCCCAGGTTGAGGCTAAGAGGCAACCATCCGTAGGTGTGGACTGTGGTGCCGTTAGCCGCGCAGAGGTCGTAGTTGACACGTTCCCTGTGCCGTTTACTGATCCTATCAGTGACGAAAAGGAGGCCGTTGTTGATGTCCACTGTGTTAGTTTTCCTGCTGGCGGTAGGAGCAGGGCTGCGTACACTTGTGCCCGGGCCCCGTAGAGGTGATGGTACCAGCAGAGGGTGGATATAACCTCGCCCGAGGGCGATCTGCTGGCAGAGCGGCAGTTCCTGGAGTTGGAAAGAATGCGTCCCAGCTTGGAGTTCAGTGTTTCCACTTGTCTGCTTAAGATTATTAGTTACTCCTGCAGGTCTTCAAGCTTCCTTCTTTTACTTGTCCTGCGACAACCAAATATTCTTAGAAAGAAACTCATGATCCTCGTGATGGTATTCTTCAAGATGGGAAGTATTCTTATTCGAGATTCTTCTAGACGTGCGTCCATTCCTTGGCAGGCCATCGTCCCGTCTTCTTCTATCTCGTGTGTAAATGCGGACACCATCTCTATGAGGCTGGTGCACATTTCACCTGGCATGGCTTCCGTCAATCCTAGGATAGCTCTTGATTTTGCTCGTATAGCTCTTGTTTCTGCATCCAAATTTTCTTCCCAGGCCCTCATCTTTTTGATCATTTCCTCTTTGTCCTCGGCGTTCATTATGCCCATCATTTGTTCTTGGCCAGCTCTGATTTCCTTGAGAAGCATTTCAATCATCTGCCTTGGCCCCATTTTTGTCTTTCTCGCGTGATTTTCACATGTTTAAGTTCGTAAACCTATTCTGACACCAAATTGTCACGTGTTGAGTGTATAACGCGACAAATAACTTCAGACCTTATTGGATGCAGCGAATTTTATTTCACACTCGCTAATACAATCACACAGTTTACAATTTGACAACTACTGCTATCTGCAATATTACAGTATTGACTGAATACTTTTCCCTGGCCAACTCGTGTTAGTTTTCCTGCTGGCGGTAGGAGCAGGGCTGCATACACTTTTGTGCCCGGGTCCCATAGCAGTGATGATACCAGCAGAGGGTGAGTATAACCTTATCTCGTGAGGGGGATCTGCTGGCCGAGCGGCGGTTCCTGGAGTTGGAAATAATGCGTCCCAACTTGGCGTTCAGTGTTTCCACTTGTCTGCTTAAGATACTTTAGCTCCTCCTGCAGGCCTTCAAGCTTCCTTCTTTTACTTGCCCTGCGACAACCAAATATTGTTAGGGAGAAATTCATGATCCTCGTGATGGTTGTCTTCAAGATGGAAAGTTATCTCCTTCGAGATTCTTCTTCTAGACATGCCTCCATTTTTTGGCACATCTTCTTCTGTCTCGTGTTTAAATGCGGACACCATTTCTGTGTGGCTGGTGCACATTTCATCTGGCATGCCTTCCGTCCATGCTAGGATAGCTCTTGTTTCTGCATCCAACTTTTCTTCCCAGGCCCTCATCTTTCTGGGGATTTCCTCTTTCTCCTCGGTGTTCATTTTGGCCATCATTTGTTCTTGGCCAGCTCTGATTTCCTTGAGAAGCATTTCCATCATCTGCCTTTGCCCCATTTTTGTCTTTTTCGCGTTGTTTTCGCATGTGTAAGTTCGTAAACCAATTCTGATACCAAATTATTACGTGTTCTTAAGTTCGAATCTTGTTGATCACGTGTGTAAGTCCAATCCCACTTCTGACACCAAATTGTCATGTGTTGGGTGTATAACGCGACAAATAACTTCACGCGTTATTGGATGCAGCGAAGTTTATTTCACCCTCGCTCAAACAATCACACAGTTTACAATCCGACAACTACTGCTCTCTGCAGTATTACATTGTTGACTTAATACTCTTCCCTGCCCAACTTGTGTTAGATTTCCTGCTGGCGGTAGGAGCAGGGCTGCGTACACTTTTGTGCCCGGGCCCCGTAGCGGTGATGGTACCAGCAGAGGGTGGGTTTAATCTCTCGTGAGGGCGATCTTCTAGCCGAGCGGCGGTTCCTGGAGTTGGAAAAAATGCGTCCCAGCTTGGCGTTCAGTGTTTCCAATTGTCTGCTTAAGATACTTTAGCTCCTCCTGCAGGTCTTCAGGCTTCCTTCTTTTACTTGCCCTGCGACAACCAAATATTCTTAGAAAGAAACTCATGATCCTCGTGATGGTATTCTTCAAGATGGGAAGTATTCTCATTCGAGATTCTTCTAGACGTGCCTCCATTTCTTCGCAGACCATCGCCCCGTCTTTTTCAGTCTCATGTTTAAATGCGGACATCATCTCTGTGTGGCTGGTGCACATTTCATCTGGCATGGCTTCCGTCCTTGCTAGGATAGCTTTTGTTTCTGCATCCAACTTTTCTTCCCAGGCCCTCATCTTTTTTGAGCATTTCCCCTTTGTCCTCGGCGTTCATTATGCCCATCATTTGTTCTTGGCCAGCTCTGATTTCCTTGAGAATACTTTCCGTCTTCTGCCTTGGCCCCATTTTTGTCTTTCTCGCGTGGTTTTCGCTTGTGTAAGTTCGTAAACCAATTCTGACACCAAATTGTTATGTGTTTTAAGTTCGAATCTTGTTGATCAGGTGTGCAAGTCCAGTCCCACTTCTGACACCAAATTGCCACGTGTTGGGTGTATAACGCGACAAATAACTTCGCGCCTTATTGGATGCAGTGAATTTTATTTCACACTCGCTCATAGAATCACACAGTTTACAGTCTGACAACTACTGCTATCACCTAAACTAGAAATTCATTCGGGGGTAGAAGCCAATAAAGTGGCACATGTCTTTGCAGCCTCTGTTTCTTTGGCATATAGGATGTCGACAAGTAAAATTACACTTTCGGACATTAACAACGATCTTCCTGGTCTAGATCATTTGAAAAAATATAAACAGAGGCTACGAAAACTGTGGCAAGAAACCAGGGATCCAGCGTGTAAAACGGCAGTCAGTTGGGTCACCAAATCAATCAGTCGAATGACCCGTAAAAAGGCACTTGAACGGTGGGAAACAAAAATAGGTAACGCTGAAGTCACACCTCAGGGTATATGGCCCATTGTGAAATCTCTCCTTAAGAGAGACGGACAAAGGGCACCAACTGTTATTCATGGTTCTTCTGGCATAAAATTTCATCCTTCTGAAAAAGCCAACGAAATTGCAGACTGTTTGGAAATTCAGTTCACGCCACATGACCTGTGCGACGAAAACCATGAACAGCGGGTGGAGGCTAGAGTTTAAGCTCTGCTGGAAACCGTGGATGAAAACCCCCTTCTAAGGAAGTCCCTGAAATTAAAAAAGGCCTGTGGAATTGACGGCATCCCAAATGAATGCCTCAGGCACCTTCCAAGGTGACAATTGGTTCACCTAACTCATTTATTCAATCACTGTTTTCGGTTCTCATTTTCCAAATACTTGGAAGGAAGCAAAAATAATAACTTTACCTAAACCGGG